TGCAAAATTCTTTATGGATATTTCATTCCCTAAATGCTTCTTTAAAGTTTGTCTTATTTTATTGTTTTTAATTTTTGTTTGCTTGTTTGGGGGGCATACCTGGCGGTGTTCAGAACTTATTCCTGACTGTGCTCAGTGATTTCTCCTGGAATAATTCAAGGGAATATATAGGATGAAGAGATTGAAACCTGGTTGGCCACATGCATGGAAAACAATTTACTCACTGTACTGTCTCTCCAGATCTTTATCTGATTGGTGTATGTTTTGTTGTTTTGTTTTTGGGATTTTTTTTTTTTTTGGCTAACTTTCTTCACCTAACTAATATTGTTGTTTCAGAAAGCTGTGATATTAAACAATTGTCTCTGTTTTTGACATGCTTCTTGGAATAAGGCTTTTCCAACTGAGCAAAGTATGGTTCTAAGAAAACATTAAGTCCTATGAATGGGATTTCTGAGAGTTCTTCAAGACAATGATCAGGGAATGAGACTTCTGAAATAGCTTTTCACAGAGTCTATAACCACCAGAGTCTGTTAAGCTGCTGGTTCCATAGTTGCTATGATTGCAAAGCTACTGTTTTTCAAAGATATTAGAACTCAGGCTGGAGCGATAGCACAGCGGGTAGGGCGTTCGCCTTACAAGCAGCCAACATGGCCGACCCCAGTTCGATTCCTCCGCCCCTCTCGGAGAGCCCGGCAAGCTACCGAGAGTATTCGATATGCCAGACACAGTAACAACAAAGTCTCCAATGGAGACGTTACTGGGCCCGCTCGAGCAAATCGACGATCAACGGGAGGGCCTTTACCTTTACCTTTACCTTTATTAGAACTCAGAAGTGGATGAAAATAGGATAAATGAGAACAGGACAAATTGTTGTTACTATTGAAATTAAACTAATGATCTAAAGCAGATATTTTACATTGCAAAAGTTTCTGTTCATTTCGTCGCCCCATTTTCTGAAAGGGTTGGATGTTTTCTTCTTGTGGAGTTCAACCAGTACCTTGTATATCCTTGATATCAACCCCTTGTCGGATGTGTATTTGGTGAATATCCTTTCCCATTCTGTAGACTGTCTTTGTATTTTGGCCACTGTTTCTTTTGAGGTGCAGAAGCTTCTTAGTTTAATATAGTCCCATTTGTCTATCTCTGTTTTCACTTGCTTGGCCAGTGGCGTGACATCTTTGAAGATACCATTAGCTTCAATATCATGGAGGGTTTTGCCAACTTTGTTTTAAGTGAACTTTATGGATTCTGGTCTGATGCTGAGGTCATAAATCCATTTGTGAAATTCTTTCGCAAAGAAGAAATCTGAATGGCTAAAAGGCACATGAGAAAATGCTCTACATCACTAATTATCAGAGAGATGCAGATCAAAACAAAAATGAGATATTATTTCATACCACAGAGACTGGCAAACATCCAAAAGAACAAAAGCAACCAATGCTGGCGCAGATGTGGCGAGAAAGAGACCCTCCTTCATTGCTGGTGGGAATGCCGACAGTTCCAACCCTTTTGGAAAACAGTATGGACGATTCTCAAAAAATTAGAATTTGATCTCCCATTTGACCGAGCAATACCACTCCTGGGAATATATCCAAGAGAGTCAAAAAAGTATAGTTGAAGTGACATCTGCAATTGTTTGTTCATTGCAGCACTCTTTACAATAGCCAGAATCTGGAAAAAACCTGAGTGCCCGAGAACAGATGACTGGTTAAAGAAACTTTGGTACATTTACACAATGGAGCACTATGTAGCTGTTAAAAAAGATGAAGTCATTAAATTTACATACAAGTGGTACTACATGGAAAGTATCATGTTAAGTGAAATGAGTCAGAAAGAGCGGGATGGACACAGAAAGATTGCATTTATCTGGGGAACATAAAGTAAAAAAATGGGAGACTAACACCCAGGAGTGGATGAGATTAGTACCAGGAATTTTGCTCCATGACTTGGAGGCCAGCCACACTTGCTAGGGGGAAAGGAAGCTCAGATAGATAGAGAAGAGAGCACCAAATAAAGGTTGTTGTGAGGATCCTCCCAGGGTGGGAGAAGCATGCTGAAAGTAGACTATAGACCAAACATGATTGCCACTCAATGCCTCTCTTGCAAAACACAGGACCCAAAAGAAGAGAGAGAGAACAAGGGGAAATGCCCTGCTACAGAGGCAGGGTGGGATGGGGGGATGGGGAATGGGAGGGTTGCTGGGACCCGTGGTGGTGGAGGATGGGCGCTAGTGGAGGGATGGGTACTTGATCATTGTATAACTGAAACCCAAGCACAAAAATTTGTAAGTCTATAACTGTACCTCATGGTGTTTCACTAATTAAAAATAAAAAAAATAAAATAGATACTTTACAGGTTTATACAAGCCTTTTGTCAATTTCCAGAGTTCTGAGAAGGTTGATTTAGCAATATTTTAGTGCTCTGGTTTCTTTTATATGAGTGTTTTTTTTTTTTTGCAATTCAGACTTTTAGTCCTTGCTGGTTTCCTCTCACCTTGACATATTTTAATTGTAAAAAAATCTTAATATGTAGCAATAATATAAATATTAACTAAATGATGATATATACTGTATAACTGAGTGTTAAAAAACAAGAGAGTGGGTGATTTTGATAGCACATGTTTTTAGATAAAAATCATTTTGTATAATCATATATTATTTGAGTTGTTTGTATGTCTGTGTGTGGGGGGGGGTGCAAGTAAAGAGGAAAATCTAAAATGATCAGAGAATGGGTGTACGGAACCATGTCTGGGGGAGGGGAGAGGAAACAGGATGGAGAGAAGGAACAGGGATATGTTGGGGAAGGAAAGTGGACACTCTGCCAGAGGATGTGGTGTATCCATAAAACTTTACTGTTAACAGTACTGTAAATCATGGTGCTAACATTTTTGTTTTTCAAAATGGTCTCAAGTTACCATTAATGAGATTGCGGTTTTCTCCCTCAGAAATATTTAAACCAAACAGACCAAAACATACAAATATTTAACAAAAAAAATCTTGAATTTTTCCCCCACACTTTATTTAAACACCAGAGTTTACAAAGTTGTTCATGATATTTGTTACAGACATTCAATATTCGACACCAGTCATCTTCCCTCCACCGTTGCCTCCATTTTCCCAGCTACACAAGTCTGCCCCCAATGGCAAGCCCACAATAATTTATTTTATATTGCTTATTACCCATAAATGGCTAACAAAATGATCAAAGACTATTTCCTTATAAGAAAATTAATGAAAATTGTTGTATCTCACTATGCAGATATTAAGTCCTTGTCTGAGGTATTACTAAGATGTTGTTACAAGTTAAGCTTCTGTGTTAATGTTTTTGTTAATCAAGATTGGATGGCTTCTACATTTCACCCAATCTGGTGTGCTACTACTGGATTGTCAGTGTTGTAGAGTTTGAAGATTTTGCCTCAGAAAATCCAGAGTTTTTGCCTGGTCAGTCAAGCTAGAGTTCATTTTTTTACTGCGGAGTTTACATGGCGGCGGTGGTGGTTCATGGACATGACTTCTAAGGCTCCCAAGAAGTACAGGGAAGTGAGTTAGCCTACCCCAATGCTGAAAAGATAGGAAGCTATCAGCCACAGAGGTCCATGTACCTGAGGTTTTGGCAGGGTTAACTTCACTGTGAGGCTCAGTAGTACTCAGCAATGGAGTCTGACCAGAGAGAGCATTGAGCCCGTTTGACAGTACAGAGGGAGAAGCTGTTGGGATTTGGGTGGGTGCTGATCCACACCACCCACTTCTCCCACGTCCTGCACCCCAAGAGTGCCCTGGGTGTCTCAGTAAGGTTCCGGTGTCCTAGAAGTTTTTGCAGCTAGTTGATCTCTTTCGAGATTTATTTCTGAGTCTCTGGAAGAAGGCGGTAATGATGAGCTTAAATGGTGGCAGAGGTCTCTTCTGGTATTTTTAACTTTTTTACTTTTTAAACTTTTTTATTGTCTAGATATTTTTGATGTGGCTCTTGTATGAGCTCCAGATTCAGTTCTCAGCACTGCCAAAAAATAAAATCTCAGATTAGTTCCACCTAAATTGTTAGAATATTACTTCCAAAGTTTCCAACTCCCTTTCCTTTAGCTCTAATCTCTAGGTAACAATACACATACCAAAACACTAAAAGTTTCTGTAGAAAATACTTTAAATACTGGAACATTTTTTGGAGGGGTGGGCAGTACATAGACCTTCATGGGGAATTGACAAAACCTATGTTCTAAATCTATGAAAAATACTTATATGTTTATAATTTTATTTATGATATCTGGGGACTTGATCAAATTCATTGATTAGATTAAAATCTGAAAACAATTGCCTCCGGATTTATACTTTATGGGGGAATTCTTTTCCTTTCATTTATATATTTCTTAAAAGTTTCATATTTATGAAGTCGTGAGAAAAGGCAGAGATCAGAGGAATTTAAAACTCCATCAGTAAAAACAAGAAGAAAAAAAATAACCCAGGAAAATGACTTACCCAAGTTTTGTACATATCCCGGTTTCATGAGCTCCCCACCAAGGTCAAGGCTTTTCCCACCAAATTACCTTGAATTATAAGACAAATGACAGTCCTCATTATGTTCTCCCAGATTTCTATAATCACACCAGCTATCATTGTTATAGTTTCTTTAGCCCTGGAATCCATATCTAATGCCAAGAATCTTTAAGAGGAGAAACCTGGCTCATCACCTGAAATATACCCAAACTCACTGTATCCAGCGAGGAAATGCACTGAGGGGAGAAGGGGGGTCATGGAGGAAATAGGGATGTTACAAAAAAATCCAAACAATCAGATAAACTGCTATGAAGGCAGGACTAGAAACAGGAAAATCCTACAGTGATAGAAAATATAATAGGCTAGAGAAAAAAAGTGGGGGGGTTGATTGTGACTCTCATGAATTTCCCGAGCCATGGAACCCCAACATGCAGTCCCCACTTTGCTTTACATTTTCTGAGATCATCCTTGGAAACTAACTATGTCTTATATCTGTTTGACTTTCCACAGCTCCCCTTTGCTGAAAGCCTGTACCACTTTTATCATAATGGTCTTGCGAAGGTCAAAAGGAGACGCAGCTTGCACCACAAGCAGCAACTGGAGAGAGACCCCAGGGTGAGTTTTCTGGGAAACCCGGCTTCCAATCTCTGCCAACATAACTGAACCCACTAAGGGAGTGTGGAGAAAGATAGAAAGATCACAGCACTCAATGTACTGTGATAGACTAAATGGATCCTTGGCAGAGTGACACTGGAGTCTTTACACTTCCTATCTTGTGCACAATAAATAATCCCTTTATAGGGCAGGAATGTGTATTTAAGGGATGAAGAGCAAAAAAGGGAGCAAAAAATCACCTCTTGGCTGGTTGTCTCCTTCCTAATTACTGTGAGAGGACTAACGGTTGCCTGAAAATATGTGTTAGGATATATAATTTATGATTAGACGAGAAGACACCAACCTATTTAGTGAACTATTTTTATGAAATATTTCTACTGTTGAAATCATACTCAGAGGAAGTTTTCATGCCCCATATCATAAGTGGGCAAATGATCAAGTGAAATAGTCAGGGGGGTTCTTGGTATTTATGCATGATTGCAGCCACAACAGTCTTCTCAGCCTCTTCTCTCACGTTGCATTTTCACTCACTAAACTAATTTACTCTCAGGCCTCAATGAGCTTCTTAAATGCTCATGACTCCCATTTTCTTATCTCCAATTTCTCCCTTGTTAAGGGACTTACATCTCGTGTGTGACCTACTCCTCCCAACAGCTTAATCCAATTTTCCCACAACCAAATTTATCATCTTAGTCACAAAGCAGCTCTTTTCCCTAGTGTTCCTCCTCCATATTTTTCAGAATAGGAACTTTAGTCATTGTTAAAGTCCTTCCTCTCCTAGCTGTTCTTCCATCTCCATTTACTTACACACTCACATAGATTATTGGTAAAAATCTGATTTCTTGCATGCATTTAACTAAATGGGAAATTAATAAACCATGCAAGTTATTTTCTGCACATTGAAGGTTGCATAACCTCTTCCCTGGACTCTTTGGGATAAGCAGATAGATAGAGGGTCAGATATTTGTGTTAGGTGTTACGGAGGAGATTCCTTTTGATCTGATATAAATTTGGAAATTCATTCTTGTGAGTTTTTTATGTGAACATTTGAATAGGTTTAATTTGGGTTTTAATTAGGAATTCAGATGAAACCAACTTCTCACAGACCACAGGCAATTTTCTTTTAATTCTTCAACTCAGGGGGTTCCACATTCCCTGGTGTGAAAACTGTTCTCTGGAGAGTAGTTTTATCTCTGCTTTCACAATAAGAATCAAGCTGCCCGTGCCAGTCTACCTCAAGAGTTCTTGAACTATTGAAGAAACTACCATGACCTGAGAAGTTTTCTTTATTGTCATAGCAGTCTTGACTTAAGCCATATTCATTGAATGTCTAGGATGCCTTTGGGAAACTCATCGATAGGGATCCTGCCTCGCTTATCTGTGAATAATTGGATCCCAGCAGACCCAGAACACTCTGGTTCCGAGTGGCAAAGTCTGATGCTGCTTCCTTCTGCTTTGTTTATGCTCTATGATCTTACTCTTTGTGTACAATGATTTTCCTTTTAACTACATAATTTCTTAGAAGTTTCATTGGCTTTTCCTCTTCCATCGTTAAATTAATGATGTTGCTCAAAATAATTTGAGAGAAAAACATAAAACAAACAATGACATAGGGAAAGAGGAATACAAACAGGAACAATGAAACAAGAAGCCATTGTTTTATTCAAGGAGACTTTTTGGGCCCATTAGGTTAATATTTTTCTTATCTTAATACTTACTTGAAATGGTTTTTGATATGCTGGCCCCTAAAACACAGAGTGATTTTTTTTAAAGTACAGTTGAGTAATAAAAAAAAGAAAGCAGGTATGGTGAATCTAATCATCCATCTTCCTCCTCAAAATTCTATCCATTTTGACAAATCCCCTTCATTGTTCAGTATTGGACATCTAATAATCATCCTTGAAACCATCTACTATGCCTATGAAGACAGCAGACGATAGCAAGGAAGTTTAAAATTACAAATCTCCTATACCTTTTCTCTGTATTTTCATCAAGGATGAATTCTACGGTTGTTGCCAATAATAGAACCATTCTGGGGAGGAAATAAAGCATAAAATCTCATAATTCTTTGCAAAAAGAAAAGAAAAAATCCATTGATGACTACTGTGTTCCAAAATATTAGATTAAAGTCTGAGTCCTTCCTGCATGATGTTCTTGTGGTCATCTAATTTTGGCAATCTGTTCCATAACAAAATATGAGAGCAACTACTTTAAACAAAAGACATTGACTATGAATGGTCCAAAAGCATAAGAATTTGGTTATATGAGTTTAACAGATCTTAAACCAAAACTAACTGTTTTGAGCATTAGGATACGTCAATTTTTAGATTCCCAAGTACACTGACACACATCGTGAAGAGGAAAATAAATAGAAGTATAGAAAGAATGGGGAATAATCATTTCTTAAGGAAAGTTGAGCCACATTCTCTCTCAAAGATGCTGAAAGTTACATTATGTGAACCAAAATGTTAAGAGTAAGCTATTAATAATTCTGTGACGGGTTTTCTCTTAGACTTACCAACTTTAATCACACTCTAAGAAGCCTCAACTTCCTCCTTCTTCCTCCTGTCTCAGTATTAATTTCTGATCTCATTCACTGTCCTCCATACGGAAGAAAACAAAGAAAAAAAAGAAAAGTTATGGATGTCGGATACTTTTATTATAGTTAAATAGGTATAATTTTAATATGTTTATATGTATTGATATTCAGGGAAGTATCTAAGAAAATATGCTCTTACCTTAGTAATTTTAAGGATGCTTTCTTGTTTTTCTAGGTTTTTTTCTGCTGAAATTATTACCTTGATGCAGATTATATCCAAAATCAAAAATTCTATCTTATTTATTTCTGAATACATTGCATAGTACAGTTCTGAGTACATAGTAGATGCTCAATAAATAATTGTTAAGTGTATAAGGGGTATACTAGGAAAACTCAGTTTTTCACCCCTGTGGATCTTCTATACAACTTACAAAGAACAATTTATTCCGATATTTTTGGTCACCAAACATGAAGGGTTTTTCCTCATAATAAAGCAATTGTTTGTCCCACAAACCAATTGGGCCTACAAATTCAATTCTGTCACTCTCTTCCTGACGATAACCCCAGGTGAAGGATTCAGTTACAGAAGCCTGCTCCACTCTTCGGAAACCAAGTCCAAGTAGTAATTCTTTGGGTTATCCTAACTTTCTGACTGCTACAATTGCAAGTTCTCAGCACCTTCTCCCCTTTACTTTAATTAATTTTCTGGAGTGACTCACAGATCTTGGGGAAACACTAACTTGTGTTTGCCAATTTATTGATGTGTGATAAGACAAGGTGAACAGTCCAATGAAAAGATACATAGGATGATATCTGAAAGGTGAAGCACAGGAGATTTTGTTCTTATGGAATTAGGACCATACCCCCTCCAAATATAATTTTTAATTTTTTAGTTTTTATTATTGAATCACTGTGAGATACACAGGTTTTCATGTTTGAGTTTCAATCATACAATGTTCAAACACCCATCCCTCCACCAGTGCACATTCTCCACCACCAATGTCCCTAGTGTACCTCCCCTTTACAACCCTCCCCTTGCCTCCATGGCAGACAATTTCCCCATTATTCTCTCTCTACTTTGGGGCATTATGGTCTGCGATACAGATACTGAGAGGTTATCATGTTTGGTCCTTTATCTACTTTCAGCACATATCTCCTATCCCGAACAAATCCTCCAACCATTATTGACTTATTGATCACTTCTTTATTCCAACTGCCTTCTCCCCCAGATCATGAAGCAATCTATGGAGCAATATTCCTGGCCCTTGTGTCTACTCTTCTTGAGAGTCTGTCCCATATTATGTTATTAGTGCAGTCATTCTATCTCTATTTCTCTCTTTCTGACTCATTTCACTTAGCATGATACTCTCCATGTCCATCTACTTATAAGCAAATTTCATGACTGCATCTTTCTTAACAGCTGCATAGAATTTCATTGTGTAGATGTATCAAAGTTTTTTTAACAGTCATCTGTTCTAGGGCACTCAGGTTGTTTCCAGATTCTGGCTATTGTGAATAGTGCTACAATGAACATATAGGTGCAGATGTCATTTCTACTGTGTTTTTTCGTGCCCTCAGAATACATTCCCAGAAGGTGTATTGCGGAGTCATATGGAAGCTCAATTTCTAGTTTTTGAAGGACTACCCATGCTATTTTCCAGAAAGGCTGGACCAGTTGGCATTTCCAACAACAGTGAAAGAGCGTCCCTTTTTCCCCACATCCACACCAGCACTGGTTGCTTTTGTTCTTTTAAATGTGTGCCAGTTTCAGTGGTATAAAATGATATCTCATTGCTGTTTTAATTTGCATCACCCTGATGATTAGTGATGTAGAGCTGTTTTTCATGTGCCATTTGGCCATTTGTATTTCTTTGTTGGGGAAGCTTCTGTTTGTTTATTTTCCCCATTTTTTGATGGGGCTGGAGGTTTATTTCTTGTACAATTCTACTAGAGTCTTGTATATCCTGGATATTAATCCCTAATCAGATGGGTATTGGGTAAATGTTCTTTTCCATTCCATGGGTTCTCTCTGTATTTTGGTCACTGTTTCTTTTGAGGTGCAGAAGCTTCTTAGTTTAATGTAATCCCATTTGTTTATGTTTGTTTCCACTTGCTTGGTCAGTGGTGTTTCATCTTTAAAAATGCTTTTAGCTTCAATGTCATGGAGGGTTCTGTCTAAATTTTCCTTCATGTACTTCATGGATTCATGTCTGATATTGAGATCTCTGCATGCAAGGCAAACGCCCTACCTATCGCTGGAGCGATAGTACAGGTAGGGTGTTTGCCTTGCATGCAGCCAATATGGCCGACCCGAGTTCGATTCCTCCACCCCTCTCGGAGAGCCCGGCAAGCTACCCATGGCGTATTCGATATGCCAAACACAGTAACAACAAGTCTCACAATGGAGACGTTACTGGGCCGTGACCGTGACCATTGAGATCTCTAATCCACTTTAATCTGA